AGCGGGCCCGGGGGAGCCCCAGCAATGCCCCGAGGGGGGAACCCCTCTGCTGGGAGCCCAGCAGGAGAGAGTTGGGCTGGGGCAGCTGAGAGGAGAAGGCTCCAGCTGGGGAGACCTGCTGGGGGCTGCCAGGACTGCCAGGGGCCTGCCAGAAACCTGGGGGGGACTTTTGAGCAATTCCTCCTCTTGAGTCCTCCTCAAAGTCTCTTTCCCAGGAGACCTTTGAGCAACCAGAGATTACTCTTCAGCCAGGGACCATGCTGTGGCTGCCCTGGTGGGGTCTGGGCTCCCTGGAAGGAGCAGGGGGAGACCTGTGGAAGTGGGGAGGGGTCTGGAAGTGCTTGGGGATGAAGAGGGGGTTGCCTGGGGTCCGTGGGGAGCTGGGAGTGTGGCAGGACAGGCAATTTAGGCACAAATCCACAAGAAATCAGTCATCGTTAGCACCACTGTTTACAGAACAACTCATTTTAGTGGGTGAAAGGCCATTTCCAGCTGGAAAACCTTTTGGGTTTGGGTGGAAAACTGCACGGTGCTGCAAATTTCCATAAAAAAAAACCCAAAAAGAGCTGTCTAGTTTTACAGAGATGGGGAAAAAATGCTGAAAATCTGATATTCTGGGGTTCTTCATTTTTGTCCTTGGGCTCTTCCACCCAATCTTAGAGTCAGGTTACTCGTGGGTTGCCTCAGCTGCCTGTCGTGGTTGTCGTTGTGGTCTGCAGAGCTGGGACTCCAGGAGCAGCATTCCCAGGATATTTCCTGTATCATTTCCTCAGGCAGGCCTTAGATTTAACTTGACATCAGAAGACTCCTCAAACGAGAGACGACAGAGTAATGAGATCCAGGAGGTGGAGGTTGAAGTTAGAGGAACTATTCCAGTGGAAATAAGATGCTAATTTTTGAGAGGAAGGGTAATTAACCATGGGAACGACCTGCCAAAGGTTGTGGTAAATTCACCGGGGCTGGAGGCGTCCACGTTTGGGGTGGAATGTCCTCCAAGAGATGCTCTGGTTCCACTCCGTGCTCCTGTCCAGCAGTGCTCGTTTGTGGGGCTTCACTGGCAAGGTTCAGTGACTTTGGTGGACCTTTCACCCAACCTTGCCTTGGCTGAGAAGATCTCTGCCATTGTCTGGGGGAATGGTGGAGTGAAAGTCCTCAGCTAGATACCAGGCCAGAGGAAAAGGGTCTGAAAACCAGCCTGGGCTTCTGCATCTGTGATGTCTGGGGAGCACGGTGGTGAAGTTGTCTCCCTGGAGCAGTGATTGTGGTAAAGACCTGAGGGACTATCACCAGAGAACATTGCTGGTTGGAGGAGACCTTTAAGATCATTACATCAAGTCGCTCCCCAGCTCTGCCAGGTCCCCACTGCCCCGTGTCCCTCACCCCACATCTCCACAGCTTGGAAACCCCTCCAGGGGTGGGGACTCCACCACTGCCCTGGGCAGCCTGGCACAGCCCTGGGCAACCCTCCAGGGCAAGAAATTGTTCCTCAGGGGCAACTGAAACCTCCCCTGGGGCAACTGGAGGCCCTTTCCTCTTGGCCTGGCCCTTGTCCCTTGGGAGCAGAGCCCGACCCCCCCCTGGCTCCAGGCTCCTGTCAGGAGCTGTGCAGAGCCAGAAGGTCTCCCCTGAGCCTCCTTTGCTCCAGGCTCAGCACCCCCAGCTCCCTCAGCTGCTCCTCCCCACACTTGGGCTCTAGACCCTTCCCCAGCAGCTCCGTTGCCCTTCTCTGCCCACGCTCCAGCCCCTCAACATCCTTCTCAATGTCCAGAAACACATAACTCCACTTCCAGCTGGACTCAGCTCTGCTCTGCAGCACCATGGAGATGTTTACTACCTTTTAAAGCTCTGTTTGTGCTCTGCAAGCCCAGCCTTGCTTCCATGGCCATTAATCCTAATTAGAGCCCGCTGGCTGTGCTGATTGATAATCCTGCCTGGCTTTCAGCACTTCGTTAAGACAGATTCAGGGCTGGGCAGAAAACTGCTGCCCCCAGAGCACCACGGGGCAGAGCAGGAGGAACAGGAGCCTTTTGGAGGGTGGGCTCTGGAAGACAAATGGATGGGTAATTAATTCAAAGGTTATATGTCACTGGAGGCTTTGCTAATGACTCCTGCTAAACGGCCCTAACGCTGCCTCGCCTGATTTATGGCATCATTAGAAATCCTCAGCTGGCTCCTTTGTGATGGATGGAGATCCCTTTGGTCAGGCTTGACTTTTGTTGGGTTGTTGTGTTTTTTTTCCCCTCCCCAGTTCCTCCCCAAACCTTGCTGGTGATCAGAGCTACGTTTCCTTTCCAAAGTGATGGGGTTTTTTCAAGCAGCAGTGATAGAACATCCTGTCCCAATTAAATTCACTATGTTTGGGAGGGATTTCCAGGCTGGCCAGTGTGTGCTCCTGGGGGTTTGAATCAGAGCTACTTGAAATCTGGCTCTTTCCAGACAACCTAAACGTGCAGCTTTGTCTGTGCTCCGTTGAGGGCTTGATAAGCAGCATTGGCACAGCTCATTCCTTCTCACAGCACTGGCAGCTCCTTTCAGGGGCTGCAATGCTGTGACACCTTTTCTGTGTCAGCCCCGTGCTTCACAGGGACAGGACAGCCCAGAAAACAGGCCCAGGAAGGTCTAGGCTGGAGGTGATGCTCTGAGGGACAAAATCCACCCCAAAAATCTGGTGCTGAAACAGACTGTTGAGGTGTTAAGGGATGGAGGTGAGGCAGGGAAAAAAATATCACCAATAGTTTGGCCTTTCTTGATTGCCTTTGGCAGATTCTTCAGAGATTATCCATGGATCTGCCAGTCTGAAGGGATGTGTTGAACCTCAAGGGCCAGATCCTGCCCTGGGGTCCCAGCCCCCCTGCAACGCTCCCGGCTGGGGCAGAGGGGCTGGAAAGTGCCCCAGGGAAAGGCCCTGGGGGGTTGGGCACAGCCGGCTGGGGAGGAGCCAGCGTGGGCACAGGGGCCAAGAAGGCCACCAGCATCCTGGCTTGGGCCAGCACTGGGGTGGGCAGCAGGAGCAGGGCAGGGATCGACCCCTGGGCTGGGCACTGGGGAGGCCAAACCTCCAATCCTGGGGGCAGGTTTGGGCCCCTCCCTCCCAGCAGGACCTGGAGGGGCTGGAGCGTGGACAGAGAAGGGGAAACGAGCTGCTG